CAGTAGGGTTCCTAGCAGCTGCCAGTTGCCAGCTGGGGCCTCCCTTCCCCAGCTGCCACTTGCTGGCTGGGGCCTTCCTTCATTCTGTGTCATTCCCTGGTGATCAGCACATGTCATAATGAACATTCAAACTCCTAGTGGACTGAACTCCTGAGGTGACACTTTGCATAGTAGGCTTTTATATATCTAGATAAAATAAAGTGGCCAATAAAAATCATGTTTTCAGAATCATGTTTCAGAAGTTTAATGGCATGGAAAATTTCTACAATAAAATGTTAAATAAAAAATTAGGACACCATCTCTCTCTCAAAAAATTAGGACACCAAATTGTTTATGAAGTTTGAGCTCAACATATTTTTTTTCTTTTAAAGGTCACTATTCTAGTAAAAGTGAAGAGAATGAGCCTGATCAACTAATAGAGCAATTGGCTATTCTCCACAAAGAGATTAGGCCTAAACCTAATTCAGCTGCCATCTTCTAGTCATTTCTAGTGAGTGAGATACTTTATTAATTCAGGATCCCCAAAATCACAGAAAACACACACACATACACACACATACACACACACACACACACACACACACACACACACCCCGATATATATCAGTTTTAGAATCATGGGACACAAAGGAAAAAAAACATAAGCTCATATGAGAATATTTCAGGATAAAAAGTCTAAACTTATTTTTCTCTATCAGTGTTTGGAATGCAAACAGCTACTCAATAGACATTTCCTGAAGCAAACTAAAATGTTCTTGGTTTTCCTATCCTAAACTCCATAAGCAAACTCTGTTTGCTTAGTTTGCTGGAAACAATGCCTACCCATTGGTGGTAAATGGGCCACACCCTCACTTTTGAAGAGCTTTGGAGAAAACAAAGCCCACAGTACATTATGGAGGATATGTTTTACTTTGTTTTCTATCTAACTAATTTGCATTCACGTGGGATATTTTGTAACACACTGTGCAGTATATACAAGGCACACTTGTTATATGTTACCTGGCTGAGAGTGTATAGTGCATTATGTTAGGTGTGCATTGATATACGTCTACATGCCTACGAAGCACCAGGAAAACAATTCTTCCATAGACAACAGATGGGCACCTAACCTAGGGGGAAATGAATAATGGACATTGCCTTTTTCATCATAGTTTTTTAGTTTCAACCTGACTCACTCATGCAATATACAGGATGTAGCCTTGTATCTCTGGCATCACTTTGCTAGAGGATTAATTGCCCATTCCCAGTTTATGAAGCACTGGCTTGAGTCCTTTGATCTCTCTCACACCACATTTTGTTGCAGCCTTATCTGTGACATGCTCATTCCTTAGTTATGGCACTTAACAAAGTTTTCAGAAAGAAGGAAATTAGGGGTGTAGATTTAGCTATAGATCTGAAACATGGTGACATCCAGGTATTTCATGAATGATGTGCTTTGTATATAATTGATGAATAAATGATTAAGTGGATGAATTTTAGAGCAATACAATAATTGGTTTAATTCATTCACTGCAGAACTCAGTTGGGGAAATTTTGAGATGGATGCCAAATCAATTTATGCTCAGAAAAAGCATAAAGCTTCTTGCTCTTAATATAGTGGGGAAAGCCTTGACATTGGTTTGAGCTGGTTAACCTGAAATACAGAATATGCAGGAGCATATTAAAGCTGGACCATGTATTTATAGTCTCTTTTGGTGCCCAATTGGAATATTGTTTTTATTTTAGCCACCTTTCCTCTACAGAATGCACATTTTTATATAACTATGTTCCTCTCTTCAATGTCATGCTATGACCAGGTCACCCTCTGTAAAGGCAGAATCCTTTTACCTTCACCTGGGGCATATTTTATAAAGACAAGCCTTTGATGGCCAAAGAAAACTTGCCAGGGTATGCATACCTAACTGTGGTGGATTTGGAAGGTAAATCTTGGGACTAACATCTCAGGCTTTACTGCTGCATTAATCCTCGTGTTTACAAACAATAGAATGCCTTAATGAATTCCTAGACCCTGAGGATATCCTAGAATCTCCAGGCTCTCTTATTCACTGTAATATGTTACTTATGTATAAATAAAATGGAAACAGAAGGAGATTATGACAAATCATGTTCCTCATCCTCTAATGAAATGTTTTTGCCTATATCGCACTGCACACTATCTCCAACAAGTATACAAACACAGACAGATGCTTCCCCCCTATCTTCCTCTCTTTGTTTTCCAAAAATACAGGCAAATTGGAAAGGAAAGCTACTAACAAAGCCCTCCACATCATCTCAGGTAAATACAGATGTTTAAACTATTGACTTATTGGAGGAGAGGCTCTGTTTTCACCATGTAAGCCATTCTGGTACCAGTAGTGCTAGGAGAATAAGATCGGTTAGGTAAGTGAATTTGGTTCCGTCTAGGTCTCCTGGAGCTTTCCAAACATATCACATGTGCACTTGCTGCTTCCATTTATGTTTCCAAAAGGGAAATGCAATAATATCAAACATTTGCTCCTTTCTCATAAATCTGATGCCCTGACCTTATAAGGCTCAGGCCACTGATTTTTACTCATTAGTATTAAATACTATAAATATAGAAGTTTGCCTTTCAAAAAGTCTAGTAATTCACAATCTCTGCTTTAAAGAAGGCATGAATCCACAAATGAAATATTGTCATCATTAGATTGTAATCTATTAGAACATAAAGAGAGATGAATATATATATCCATGTTATATATACATATAGCATATTATCCCTTAAATTATACTGTAGCCTGATCCATACAACTCTAGAGTATAAATATATATTTTGTACCTAAATATTTTTAACATAAATACAGAGGACTGTAAATAAATCACAAAATCCAGATCAGTCATTGCTGTCATTATTTCTAATGACATTTTTTCATAAACAAGGTTGTAGGTTGATATTTTAAAAATATAAGTGGTGACCTTTACACAATTGCTTCTTCTTATAATTATCTCATGAACAGAGATGACTAATTAGATACCAAAAATTTGAAAAAGATAAAGAGAGAAGGAGGAAGAAAAGGAAGAGGAAAGGAGGAAATATAGAATATTTCTCTTGTGCATGCCAAGAGCTAGATTTGGACCACGGACCAGCCTTCCAAAAGCTTCACCGTCCTTTTTGCCATTCATTTTGACCTGAAAGTTTATTTTCTCACACCAGTGCTACCAATAAGTTGCAGGTTGACATGAATCCTCACATCATTTAATGCCGTGAGGCTGGGTTTTTGCATGAATCCAATGGGCAGTGTGTGATGTTATGGAGTGCCAGTGGCATTCCCAGGTGAATGCCAATTTGGCTTTAGTATGTAAGATTGCCAAGGAGCTAGCCGATTTTTGAGCTGGGACAGTCCTCTCTGATTGCTATCATCATTCTTATATCTGATTGCATTAAATGCTTAGCAGTGGAATGGTAACTGTTATATTATAATCTCACTTTTAAATGTTTTCTAAGAAGTTTCAAACCAATCTGTATGCAAAGCAGTGACATCTCAGTAATAAGCTCTTTATCTCCGAATGTTATCTTCACATTTTTAGCTGAATTGTGATCCATATCACAAACTAAATATTGGATTTTTTAAATAGTATCTTTAAAAGAATGCCCAAATAATCCATCACTCGGATATATCTCTGAAAAGAGAAAATGCCCCTTTCTTTCTCACCTCTCAGTGATATTATTGCATATAAGGCACTTTAAGCTTATAGCTGTTTGGTTCGATGCACTCATACCAGGGTGTTAATGAGGCCAAGGTCATGGAGGCCAGTTAGCTTTCTTTGCTCTGTACTGAACAGACTACTGGGAGTCAGTCAAGAGACACTGGCACAGATGAAACTGATACCATAGCAAATTTTCAGCACTTCTCACAGTCCATCCTTCTCCTGGGACAGACAGGATGTCTTTCTTTCATATAATCTTGGGGCAGAAAGTGGGGGGAGAGTAGCTTGGGAGGCCCCAACATTTACCTCTGAACAAAGCAGGCCTGACATTTAGGCATTAACTTTGCATTATGATCCCCCATCATACCATTGATTTGCTGTGTAACCTTCAGCAGTAAAGCAGAGATAATAGGATAAAATGAAATGGGCTTACCTCCCGGGGATGTTGTGTGCATTAGCAAATTAACAAGTGTAAAGTGTTAGCGTTTATGTAAGTGCTGGTGGTTGTCATTATTTGTAGGGACCTAGTCTCATTCTAAAGAGAGAATTTAAGTATATTATGCCTGTGTCAGAAGGATTTGCACCCACATCAATTGCATTTAAGCTGAGCATAAAACAGAGGTGATAATAACATAGTACTGATCATCTCAGTGCAGAGCTGTAAACCTTTTTCCTATTAAAGCTAAAACTATTTTCAGCAACTTTCAATACTTTAAAACTTTGCTGTTCAAGATTTGTGCTAACAATTATCTCGACAGTGATTATTTTTTCTGTGACGGTTGAGGGGAATGGGACCTATTTATTATTCATTCTCATTATGACTATATAATGTATTGAATTTGTTTACATCATACAATCAGGCAAGTATTCAGTAGCTGCAATCATTGTAAAAAATCAAAACTCTTTCCCGCTCTGCCCAAGCTGCTGTCCTGTAGCGGTAGCCAGTACACAGAGTGAAAACTCTCGGGGAATTGAAGTGCTTTCCAACAAAAGGCCCTGTGCATAGAGCCTTTCAATTTAATGTGTTGACCAAAAAATTCTATTGTCACCGGCCACTTCCAAGGGGACTGTGCTTGAGAAAATGCTTCCATTTCCTGTATCACTCTGAGTTCACTTAACCAAGAAAAGTCACTTAGTGCTGATTGCAGAACTCTTCAACTCAGCCCTGCAGCTGCTGCAGAACTCCTCAGATCTGGGCTCCGTGTTACTTATTTACATATTCATTTGAAGTGGTTTTTCAGGACTATTTGAAGCCCACTCTCAACCTGACATCCTGTAACAGCTGAGATCTGAAGCTCACCATGTTTTTGGTTCTTTTTCTTTTTGTCTTACAGATAACCGACGGGTACCTCTGGAAAGGTCACGCTCTCGCCACAATGGAGGTATCTCCACTAAGTGAGTCCTGATGCCAAAGAATAGAAAAATATTTCAGTGGATAAAATCGTACATTTTGAGAAGAGCAAAACATGCACTCAAGGGATGGAGAGGAATCAGTGCATTTCTGCAAAAATCAAGCCAAGCCTGATGAAACAGCCTGCATTTGTACAGCTAATGCAAGACTCCTCCCACAATTATGCTAATATGAACACAATTATTGGGATTCTAAAATGTGTGTTCCATTTTAGTGTAAAGATGTGTATTCTTTGTTTTTGTATGTGACCTGACAGTGATGGTGAAAAGTGTAAGAAATTGAAGAGCTCTAAGGCTTTCAAGTCATTCAATCTGTCAAAAATGTACAATGTTACTCAAATTTGCAGGTCACCCCCTCTCCCAAAAAAAAGGAAGAAAGAGAAAAAAAAAGGGTAGAAAGAAAGAATGACTCAATATCTGCTTCTGATTCTTGTTACATAGAAAAGAAAAAGGCCAATGAAAAAGTATGTGTTAGTAATGTGGAGAGAGAGTAAGAGATACCATTTTGGAATCTCAGAAAAAATACTGCTTCACCCCTGTCTAATTAGTTAGAATTTTATCTCAAGTGAAAACTGATGGATTCATCTGCTTTGGCTGAAATTAAACTGATCATTAATTTAAAGTTTCAGCATGATAGTGCGGGCACTTTTCATTGCTAAAAATAAGCCAAACTTCAACAGAAGCAAAGTGATTTAAATTTTATTTAAAGAGGTGTTTTCTAATCATGCACATATCTACTTTATACAAATACTTTATATGGCTATTTTTGAGAAAAACTTCAAATTTTAATGTTTATGTGAGGGATGAACCCAAAAATTCTATTACCTTTATTTAGATTTTTAAAGGTAAATATTGATTCCTAATCTCCCTGGTTTATTTCTTCTCTCTACTCTTCTTTCTCCCAAGACCCCCTTGAAAGCAAGGAATAGAATTCTCAGAGACCTGAGAGGAAAAAGATCTCTGCAAGAGGCAGCAGAAAACTGAAAGGTCAATTGTTTTATCTGCCTTTCTACTCCCCTTTCTAATTCTGCCTCGGTGGTCTGAGGAAGAAAAACCAATTATATGTATGTATGTGTATATATGTGGATATATTTATATCTCCTACAGTAATTCCACATCCCAGTGACTAAGTGAACTTCAAAGTCATCATACTTACTATATTAACAAATTTAAATGCTGCCATCATAAATAGCTCTAGGAGGAAAATAGGCTCTATGTTTTTCTTAAATCGATGAGAGAGTAACGATTATACTTAAATTGTCTATTATTTTAAAGTATGCATTGAAGTAATGTAGTATAACTTCTCTGGAGTGCAATTTTAAGACGAATCCATGCAGATGATTATTGTAAAAGATTTCTCATGTGTATATATCTTACATAGAGAATCCTACTTCTCCTCCACAGCACACTGTAGACATTCAGAAAGAACAAAGGACTGACTTGGCAAGTCACCACATGGGTAAAGAAATCTAGAGACCAGTTTCCTTTCTATAGATGTGTAATGACTCAAAGCGCTGCCTTTCCTTCCAGTGCATTCTTCTTACTCGGGTGTTATACTTTAAAAAGCTCTGAAGCTGCTATAATAGAGAAATCAACAAGCATTACAGTATCTGAGATGTTACAGTTTTATCTCATATTAAGACACTCACATAGGCACACACAAATTTAAAGAATATACTAATTTCACATAATTTTAAAAACAGAAACAAAGATATTGGTTCTACTAATTTATGTAAATACTTAACGGATGTATTTTTTACTTCAACAAGTCATTTCTAAAATCTTCATGGTATGGTTTCTTTGAATCGTTTTTTAATAGCTTTTTAGGCCTAGGGAAATATTTTGAAAAATTAACCCTGACTAAAATGAAGGGGCATTTGCCATGCCATATTACCAAGCTGGTCAAGGTAGAAATACTGATGTATATCACCTTTTCCAGATGTGAACTTGCCTTATTTTATAGTTTGTGAAAGAGAAAATGAAGAACTATTATTGATAAAGTATATATTTGTATTTAGAGTAATCCCACATGCTTTTCACAAATATTATGAAGCCTTTTCAGGGTCTTTCATGAAGTTCCAATAATTGAGTTCAGGAAATTGCTTCCCGGATTTATAATGATCCTGCTCTAGCTATTTGCAGTCTGGGTCTAGATAGAAATGTATCACCAAAAAAAAATACTTCATGACATTTTTAGTATGGAATCAGATTATACTGGAGCCTTTTGTTGGGTTTATTACTACCACATGTGAGAAGCACCAGTTTATGAAGATTTTCTTCAGAATGTTTTTAAAAATTACAAAGTCCTTAAAACGTTTACTAGTTGTATTAGTCTCTTTTGGCTGCTATTACTCATTATCACAAACTCAGTTGCTTATTAATCCATCAGAAATGAATTCTCTCAAGATTCTGCTGACTATATGTCTAAAACCAAGGGCCATGCCTCCTCCAGAGACTCTAAAGGAAAATCTTTCTTTGCCTCGCCCTGCTTCTGGTGGCTGTCGGCATTCCTTGAGTTTCGGCCACATCTCTGCTCCATTTTCCTGTCACCTTCTCCTCTGTATACCTAATCTCCCTCTGCCTCTCTTAAGGACACATTTAGGTTGGCATTTAGAACCCACTGGGATAACCCAGGATAATTTCATCTGAAGACCCTAAACTTAATTACACTTGTAGGACCTTTTTTCCAAATAAGGTAGCTTATTCACAGATTCTGGGGATTTTTTTCCAAATAAGGTAGCAAACTCACAGATTCTGGGGATTAGGTAATGAATATATCCTTTTTGGAGACAACCCTTAGCCCATGATAGTCTGCCTTGTGCCCTCCTCCCCAAATTTAGTCTGTCCCATGTGCATGAAATCTTCATTGCATCTCAACCTTTTCAACACATTGCAGCATCAAGTCTAAGTCTAAAATTTCATTCAAACATCATCAGTTCAGCAGTCCTAAATCTCATCATTTAGATTATCTAAATTAGGTATAGGCAAAATTCCTCTCCATCTATGGATCAATACAATAAGAAAAATTATCTGCTTCCAAAATACAATGGTGGATCAGGTATCTGATAATAGTTATGGGCATTCCTATTCCAAAAGAGAGAATATGGAAAATAGGAAGGAGATAAGGAGTCATCTGTCCCAATGATTTTCTAAATTTAACCAGAAAAATGCCCTTAGGTTTGAAGGCCTGACAATAATCCTCCTTATCTCTGTTAAGCCTGCATCTCTGCCCTCTCTGCCCATGGCTTTCACTTCTGCTTCTGCTCCCATGTTTGGGCCCCTGTACCTGCAGTCCTAATGGGTGATCCTTTGCATTGAAGGATAGCACATGTTTGTAGTTTTATCAGCCTGTTTGTTGCCTGTAAATTTTTAGTAGTCTGAAAACCTTCTCTTATCTTGTCCCGTCTCTGTCCCTTTAAGGCCAACATAGAAGTATTTCTGCTGGTATAACATACTCAAAAACTCAGTGGGCCTCTCATGTATAGCACATTGATTCAATACTGAGATAAGAGAGTCCTCAGAGATCTTTGCCAGATAACCCCATCTCAATTCCTGACTTCAATTGAGATGGTTGAGTGGATCCACGAGTCAATACCTAATCTTTCCAGCACCAGCCAAAGGTTGTTCAGCCACACCCTTAGCTTTATCTCCAGAGCACACCTCCTAAAAGTGAGTCTCCTAATTTTAGCATATTTTACAACCTGAATAGGCTCAAAATGTTCCACACCATCAAGTGCTGGTTCCTTTCTGTTTGATAGATCTTTCCTCAATTTCTTTCCTCTTATATTTTAATATAAGCTTAAAAAGAAACTAGGCCACACCTCCATTGCTTTGAAAATTTCAGTTAAATATCCCAGTTTGTCACTTACAAATTCTATTTTTCATGCAACTGTTGCAGACAATTCAGATAAGACTCATGCTGCTATATAATAGGTGTCACATTTCTTCTAGTTTCTAATAAAATGTTCCTTAGTTCCTTCTGAGCCATTACTGGAAGCACCTTTAATTTATATTTTTACCAATAGTCTAAGTTAATCTATGCTTTTTCTATCAGATGCATCAAATTTTTTCTAGCTTCTGCCCATTATCCAATTCCAAAGCCACTTCCACATTTTTAGTTATTTGATATATAGCAGACCCTTACTTCCTGGTACCAAAATATGTATTAAGTTCCTGTGGCTGCTGTAACAGATTACTGCAAATGTGGCAGTTTAAATCAACAGCTATTTATTTATTATCTTACTGTTTAGGAGGCCAAAAGTCCTAAATTGAGGTGTCAACAGGGCTGTACTCCCTCCGAAAGCTCTAGGGAAATATCTCTTCTTTCCCTCTTCCAGTTTCTTTTGACTCATCATTCTCTGGCTTGTGGCCAAATCACTCTCAGCTCTGTCTTCACATCACCTTTCCCTGTGGATCGAATCTACTTCTGCCTCTTTTATAAGGACACTTGTATTGGCATTTAGAACCCACCCAGTTCATCCATGATAACCTCCTCATCTCAAAATCCTTAACTTCATTACATTTATGAAGACCCTTTTTCTCAATCAGGTAACATCACTGGTTCTGGGAATTAGGACATGGACATATCTTTGGGGACTCACCATTCAGCTCACTACACTAGCCATTGCACAGAAAAGTACTTTTCACTTTTAAAAAATGCATCTGTGGTACTCAAGCCAAATTCACAGTTTTCTCTAAAAGATGTTGTCTGCACAGGCTACTGCATGCTTTGATGTTGAATGGCTGAATGAGCTATTCTAAAATGTGGTTGATACTTTTGCTACTATGGTCAATGTGCTTTAAAAAATAATTGATTCCAACTCTGAGCTCTAGTGTATCTCTTCCACCTCCTTTTTAGAGTCTTTGACCAAATGTCTTCTATGACTCATAACACAGGCATAAAACTACCTCCGATACAGAAGGGTTCTTTACAAATTTGTTTTAGATACCCCTCAGCTGAGTGGAGAGGTGGCAGCCTACTTTGAATGGTATTGAGGGAGACTATGCCGATACCAAGATGCCCAAAAGTATTTCAGTAGCAGCAGAACTGTGGATTCGTGCTCTCATTTTTGCCTTGGAATAAACACCTATCTCTTTGCAGGACCAAGAATGATTTGCAATCTATATGTATGCATACCTGCTTATTCAATAAAGTTAAGATACACATTAAATGCATTGCCTATGATCTTTGATATTCAGGATGAGTGTAAAGGCGTAAACTGAAGTATCAAGACAAGATGTAAGAACATTCTAAAAAGAAGCTCCAACTGAACAGAAATACAAGTCAGAAGGGTGATTTACATCCTCCAGAGAAACTGTTTCTACAAAAAAGTGTGTTTGGGATTTTTGTCTTGATTATAGAATGAAAGGAAATGGGCTTCAAATACTCAGGGGGAGTAAATACCTGGAATAAGTAATAAATGATTACCGATAATTATTCTCTGAAAGGCTTTCAAAAGAATCAGCATGTGTATAAATGAAACTAAGGTACCTGGCAAGACCACTGTTTCCCTTGGAATGGTTTTCTCCAGGAATCAAATACATTGGCTTTTCTTTCTAGACACCCAAATAGGCAAATTCCTTACTAGGGTGTCTGATAAACTGGTATCCACAACTAGGGGAATTTGAGCTTACTGCCAAGAGCTCAAAGGAAAGTGGCAGTCTGAAAATTAATATATATGCAATGCATGTAACATGCTGTACAGTTTTGATTTATAATACAAAAAAAGCTATAGCCAAAGATCCCATTTACAGACTGAATTTATTTAGATGTCTATAGTCCCAATAGCCACAAATAAAATATTATTACAGTTAGCATCCATTGCAGGGAAAAACAATTTGCAATTTCATGAATTATGCAAATTATGACTGTTCCTGGTTCTTGGAGATTGGCCAGAATTCAATTTTTAGCCATGATGGCCTTTATATCTTGGCTAATACAGGCTCAGCCAATATTTCCACGTATATTTTGGCTAATTGAGATCAGACATTTTCACCATTTGATGTTTATAAGCAAAGCACAAGAGCTATTATCATATGATCAGAAATAGTAATAAACCTCAACTTTCTCTACTTTGCTATAGCCTGCAGTATGGCTATTCTAATCAAGTGTCCATTCAGGGAAAGTTGTTTTTCAGGACATGGTTATGAATTAAACATAGCTGATGCCTTCAGGGATTTCACAGTCTAGTAGGAGATGGTACAGGTACAAAAACAATTATAATTCGAAGTGCTAAGAAAGAGTAGTATCAATAAGGCCTATGAGAGTTCAGGGGAAAAAATCACTTAGATTTAGAGAGGTGAGGTAGGTATTAAAATGGGAAGCAGGTATCAGTATAGATTTTTTTGATGGGTGGCATTTGAACTGAATTTTAAAGGGTAACTTGATTTGGAAATTGAAGCTTTTATTCATTCCGTCGATATTTAATGAGCACCTCCTGTATGCCAACCACAACGCTAGGCTCTGAGAACATAACAGTGAGCCAGATAGATGCAGTCCCCATTCTCATGGAGCTTCCATCTCTTAGAGGAGGGAGAGAAGGCGGGAGCAGAAGTATGAATTTTAATACACATATGCAAGGAATATTGAACAATTCCATTTAACTGGAGTGGTAGGTCCACAAAAGGCAGCAATGGTCATGTGGATTGGGCTTGATTTTATAAATAGTAGGGGAATACTAGAGGATTTAGAGAGGGAACATAATATGGAGCACTTAAGAAAGATGAAACTGGAAGCTCTGTGTAGGACACAGGGAAGATGTCACAAAAGGCCAACTTTGTTGGGGCCTATTGCAAAAATACAATAAATAACGAGAGGCTAAACAAGGGTAGCATCAGCTGGGCAGATACAAATGACATGTAGAAACCTGGCAATCGCCCTGGCTGGTGTGGCTCAGTTGGTTGAGCATTGTCCTATGCACCCAAAGGTTGCAGAATTGATTTCCTGTCAGGGCATACACCCAGGCTGCAGATTTGATCCTGGTCAGGGCACTTGCAGGAGGCAACAGATCAATATTTTTGTCTCACATTGATTTTTTTCTCTCCCTCTACCTTTCTATCTCTAAAATTAATAAAAACTATTAAAATAAAATTAAAAAGAACTATTTAGGGTATATAGAGAGGGAGGACTCAAATCTGACACCAAGGTTTAAAACCTGAGTGACTGATAGGCTACTTTTAACAGAAAAATTGAACACAAGAAAAAGAGCTCATCTTTGCCATGGTGATACCATGGATATGCACAGCTGCAGCTCTGACACTTGGTATGACCTATTATCTGTACTGCTGAATGGCTCAGACAAGTTTTATATACAAGGAACATCAAGTCATAAAGACAGAGCAGACAGAAGAACATGATTCTGCACAAGAATTTCCTCAGTGATATTACAGTGATTATGGTAATAAGGGACAGGGGAATTGCTCTAGGTTGCATATTTTTCCCTTTTCTTCTTATTCCCTTTTCCTCTCCCTTTCCCATTCCCTTTTCTTATTAATAATGCTGAAAGGCAAATCATTGATTGGCTGTTCAAAGAAATAAAAACTGACAAAGATTGAGTGGACATTAAAAGGTACTGATTCAGTGTTGGCCTCAGAGTGACAGGAAAGGCATTTAGATGGAGTATAATTTATGGAAAAAGCTCTAATTAGTTCATAGCTAGGACTTTTTAAGTGACTGGTGAATATTTTAAGCCATACATTTAACAGGTTCGTGAACAATTATTACTCTTTAGAAGAACAGCAAATTCTCCTGTTTTATTATTTTCCCAAGAATCTTCCAGATTTCTAAACTGTGCCCAAGTCTATTTTCTTTAGAATAAATATATTTTTATTCAAAGGACCATAAGGTTTCCCTTTTCCATAAATTCAACTGCTGAGTATTGGATGGCTTTCTTTTAGCTAATATTTTGTTTTGGAAGAGGAACTGGATTATGAATGTGCTCCATCTCCCCCCTAGCTCCCTACAAATATCTTTTGTTAATGCCTCGCCCTTTTCCTACAAACAACTGAATGTTACAATGGGAATTAAGTTAAAAATACTCAAATACTATGAATTTCTCCTGTAACAGTTTTTGGAAACCTATCACATTTAACAGTAGTGGCCTAGACTTGCTGACAAAAAGCATGTAAGGAAGTGTTTTACCTGAATGAACTGGTAGCACTTATCCTGGTGCTTGGGGGATGGAGGAAAGGTCATGAATAAGGCTGCATCACAGAATTCAGTATAATGATAAAAATGAAAGTGCCTTTTAGATGCCAATGACCTTTTGACTCCAGAGCATCTGGGATAAAAAGCTGACTTGCTGTGACCTTATATTGTGTGGTGCTTTGTACTTTTGAAAGAACTTTCACTTTTCATATCCATTCTTCCATCATCTCATTTCCTCTCAGTCTACAAGCATCCTCAAGTCTCCTCTATCCCATTAAACAACAGTAACCTTCTTGTGCCTCTCTTTCAAGGCAACCATTGGCCACTTAAGTACCCAAGGCTATCAGTTCCTCTTAATTCTCATCCTGCTTACTTTCTCCCACTTTTCCTTCCACAGGGTACACCTATCCCTGTCTACTCCTACCACTCAGCAGATGCCTCAGTCCCCTTTATTACAAGTTGTCTTCACAGGACCCCTAAATACAGGTGGTATCTCCTGTGTTCATTTGAATTATTCCCACCACCAAGGTCATCTTAGACATTTCCAAAGCTTTGACAATTTTCTACCAGCAGATGACTCTGAGATCTCTCCCAAACCTCACAACCACCAAACTCAGTATATTTCCAACCAAATATGTTCTCCAGAAAATTGATCCTGTTATCCAGATTGTTCGTCTCAGTATGGACACTACACCATTCCCAGTCTTTAAGGCTAGAAATGACAGAAGCATCTTGTATCATTCCCTCTCTTCTAATATCCAGCGAGGCACAGAAATTGGTCTCCCTATTTCAGTCCCCTACCTCTTCAACCCATCCTTTACACTGCTAGAGATTGCTTCCTAAAATGCTTTTCGTAGTCTCCTTCAAAAGTTTTGATTACTCTCCTTGATTAACAAAACTAGTATGGGCTTCAAAGGTCAGAACAGACATCACTGGAACTTGCCAATGATAAACAAACAAATATATGATTACGTCCCCAACATGTAAATAGCTTTCATGCTATTTTATGTACATACAATTTAGTCTGGTATGACCTCACACCCAACTTCACTCGTTTTCTCCTGTTAATCCTTCAAGGCACAATGCCATTTTTCTGAAGCCTTCCTTAATTTTCTTCCCTAATTAAAATAAATTTTGTTATCTCTGCTCCCACAGCAATTTTTTCATACTCCCTTATTTCATTCTGCCTTCAACTAGACTTAGTTGTCTGTGTCCTTGACTAAAATGTAAGTTTCTTGATGGCCATGACTGTCTCATTCATCTCTGGGCCTTTACACAAAGCAATTGCTCAATGAATTAATGTGTAGTGTCAACTCTAGGTGAATTAAACAAATGAAAAGAAATGTTTGGTACAGGTAATGGAAAATCATAGCTAATTTCCTCATCCAGGTGAGAACATAGCTTTCATCATTGTCCTGGGAGCTGAGGGACTGCCTAAGGTCAATGTTGAGGACAAGCCCCCCTAGCTGTGGATGACTGCAAGTTGATTTCAGAGGAGTGCTTTAAAGAGCTGATGACTGATTGAAGACAAGGAGGAAGGTTTTTCCTCCAAGGTCAAGCTTTTAACAAGTATCTGCAATGTACACCAAGGGATTTGGCTGTACTCCAATTATGCTAATATGTTTTATATATGGGCCTCCAGCATCCAGGAAACACCTCCCTAAACAATTTAATAAGTGTAAATATCAAGGCAGAATTGTAAATGTGGAACTTATTTGTACTGTACCAACCTTGTTATTATCAAATGTCATGGGGTATAAGTCATGGCAATTATGCTGCCCGCTTTTAACTACATTTCATTTACTTTTTAAAAGTGCAGTATATTTCTATAAGCTGCTAGCCTGCTGTGTGTTCTGGAGTCACAGAAGGCAGGAACTTTAGGGTCACAGCATTAGCAGGCCTCCCTAATAGAAAAGGGACCTCATTTACTTCACCCTCTGACACACTATACTCAACATTAGGCTTCACTGTGTGTTGCAACAATTCAAGCTGTGGGGCCTCGTGGGTTTCTCCATACAAGACATT